TATTCCTAGTATTAAAACCGTCCAAATCTCCAGTTCAAAGAACGAGATGCAATTTTAAAAGATGGAAAACTATTTAAAAGAAGTTCATTTTAAAACCAAACAGCACCCCCATCCGCCTGTTCATTAATACATTTTATTTTCAAAGCTTGTTGGAACAAGAAGGTCTTTTGCAACAGGGAGGGGTCCCTTCTGGCTTCTCTGGGAAGAGAGTTCGAGTCCTGGGGGCAGCCACCAAAAAGGCCCTTTCTCACATCCCCACTGAGTGGTCCTATTGCTTTCTCCTCCAAAACCTAGGAGCTTTAAGAAGGGAATTTCATTGCATTTAGAAAACCCAGCCCTGGAAGCAACAAAGCAGGGAGAGAAAAGGTTTAAAAATTGTCTTCCATTGTACAGTTCTTTCCAAGTCTTTCCTCTGCACCTGCAGTGGTCTGTGTTTCAGGATTTAGCGTGGTCAGGGAAGGTGAAGCCCCCAGACTTACTGGCGTTCATTTTTGGGAAGAAACTCCAGGCCGCCCATCCTTTGCACAAACCTCTGGCAAGGGAACCTATTTTCCCTCGGCCAAAGAAGAATTGCAAAACCAGGGATCCCCGACTGTTGCCTTGGACCGCCGGATGCTCCTGGACCAAAGCCATCCCTTTGGGGAGAATTTGTACTTTTTTGCAGCTGGCTCTGTGCTGTTATCTCTTTCCCGTCTCCACCTGGATGCCAATGCAACTCTGCATCCCTCCTGGGCTTTTTATTGCATCTGACCCAAAATTGCCTCTCCTCGCCCACCCAAAAATGACTATTTCTGTTCCACGACCGCCAACGCGCTCCAGATGTTGGACGTTCACGGTGCGACAAAAATCACGGAAGAATGGGATGCGTGACCTCCTCGTGGGAGCCGAAATCCTTGTCTTGCCGGTTTTGTTTGATGTTAGAGAAAGCTTTATATTATAATAATAATGATAATGATAATAATAATAATAATAATAATATATTTATTATTATCATCATCACTATTATTATTATTATTATCATCATCACTATTATTATTATTATTATTAATTGTCAGGCACAAAAATGAGGCAAAAGGGGGGAACCCATAAGCAACCTTTCTGTGCTTCCCCCAGAGGCCGAGGCGACCTGCGTGTTTCTGAAGCATGCAGAAACCACCATTTTCCGAATTACGAAATTATACGACAAAGATCTAGATTAGGGCTTTTTTTCGCTACTCTTCCACCAAAAAAACAAAAAAAAAGTGCTCCTTTTAGTTTCTTTCTTCTTATATCGGTTTGGTGTGAGGAATTTTTGGACAGGACAGAAGACCTGCTAAGTCAGATACCCAGGTTCCTCCAGGGGAACAACTCTCTCCTTTTGGACTACAACTCCCAGAATCCCCAGCCAGCAAGCTGGCTGGGTATTCTGGGAGTTGCAGTCCAAACGCAGGCCTTCCCCATTTTCTGGTCCTTTCTGTCCTGGCCAAAGCTGTTGTTAGTCTCCGGCTAGATAAAAGAAATTGAAATATGCATTTCTGTGAACTGCATTGTGGTTGGATTTGTTTTGGGGTTTTTTTTCTATAAAGCTTAATTGCAATAATTTTAGAATATGCTCAGTTTTGGCATGATTTATTCTTTGTATGTGATCTGTGGGGTCCATTGCAGGATAACACTGCCCTGTTTGTGACTGAGAAGGTTGCTTCACTCTTTCTGTTCATTGATATCCTTCTATCTGTCTATCTATCTATCTATCTATTACCTATCTGTCACCTGTCTATCACCTATCTATCTATCTATCTATCTATCTATCTATCTATCTATCTATCTATCATCTATCTATCTATCCATCTATCTATCTTATCTATTCATCTTTCCCGAAACAAACCCAGTTTGGAAACCCAGCTACAGTTCTGTACCAGGTGGCAGCAGAGCTTGAAAATGTCACTGTACCTCCCAGAATCCCCTACTGGCCCTGCTGGCTGAAGGACTCTCAGGTTTACAATCCCCCAAAGTAACCTTTCCCCCCCTTAAATTCTGGGTGCCAACTAGCCAACTGCTGTCATGTTTGTCTGGTTTCTCATGGTCTCCACTGGAACCGTGTCAATAACCATGTCTTACTTTGACTCAGTCTGTGCCAAGCTGGGGTGGATTACATGTAGCCCGGCTGGGGATGTTGGGGGTTGTAGTGCATCCCATATGGAAGGTGCTGGGTTGGCCATGACCGCATCTGACCCAGGCTGTCTGCCAGGAGCGGGGGAATTTGTGGCTCATTACGGTTCACTGGTAAAAACAGATGCTTTGCATGCAGAAGGTTGCAGGTTCGATCTCCGACATCTCTGATTCAGAACTCAGGGAAGCCACAGTTTTGGATAAAATGCAGATATAGCATGGGTGACATCTGGCTTGGCAACAGTACATACGAAAGGGATCTAAGAGTTTTAGTGGACTACAAGCTGAATATGAACCAGCAGTGTGACGCAGCAACCAAAAAAGCCAATGCGATTTTAGGTTGCATAAATAGAAGTATAGTGTCTAGATCAAGAGAAGTCATAGTGCCA